ACATCTGGAGGAAACGCAACTTCTGCGCCGCCATAGACCCGGCATGGCAGGAGGCAGGAGGGGGGGGGAGGGGCAGCACAAAAAAGACAGCAATTCCCAGCCCGAAACCACTGCTCAGCCACGGGTCCAAGTCGTCTGAGGCCAAGGCCCCGTCGCAAGCCAACATCAGAAATTCGTCCTGAGGTTGCCTGGCGACTCTGCACAACCAAGCCGCACAGGCATAAGCCAAATCGCGACGCCGGCCTCGGAACCACACGCACGTCGGGACTCGAGGTCACCTCAGTTTCTCTTTGCACTTGAACCACAAACTGAATAAGAAATCGATGCCAGGAGCGCAACAGCACCAGCACCAGTGATTCGCAAAGGCACTATAAGCAGTTCGAAGCAGACGGCTCTGGCACGGGGCATTGCAGGGCGTCAAGCGGCATAATGGCTTAACGGACTCACACCGTTCCCACACAGGTGCCGGTGGCACTGCTCCATCGCACTCCGATCGAGATCGAGGGTGGAAGACGCAGCTTCAATCCCGGGCGCGATCGAAGCTGATCCGGCGCTTCGACCGAAGAGTCAGAAGCTTCCTACAAGCCTTGTGCGCACAAGCCGGTTCAGCAGCTCCTTGCCACTTCTGCGTCGGCGCGAGCCGGGAGCAAACGCACCACGCACGCGCGGAGAAGGGGCTCTTGCGTTCCGGACGGGCTTCATCCGCCTTCGGGCTTTGAAGCACAACCCCGGTCGCAATGCGCTGGGGCTGTGTTTTCGCCAAGCCACGATCTGACGCTCCGGAGGGAGCTGAGGATTGAGCTTGTACTCCAAGTCTCCGACCGCCTTAGTTTTGACAATCTGGAAGTGCTCCCATAAAGGTGCAAGACATTGCTGCTTGGTGGCCCGTGATAAACTCAGATCTCCGTTCACCTTGCATGAATTGGGAAGAACGAAAGCGTTGCTGCCGATACCGCTGCAACTCCATCTGCTTCCCAGGCCCTGCACCCTCAGAACAGAGCCGCCTTCGACCCATCCACCTGCCAACCAGTTTAGATCATGGGGACATCGGAATCCAACACCGGTGATGAAGGCAATCAATGTCCCCATCGGATGATTGGACTCCGTTCTGTACAGCAAGTCAGTGCCGACACGCGCCTGCAGACTCGATGCGCGATCGCTCACATGGGAGCTCAGGCTTATGGTCCTTGGAAGCTGAACGTAGAAGGCAAAACATGCCTTGCGAAAAGGTACACCAGTACAGTCCTTCGACAGATCAACGGCCTGGCCATTGCGGCACAGCACTGCGCGGCTGTCACCCGCGTTCGCGACAATGAGTGCGTTGGGCGTAATGCAGCTGAGCACCTGCACGCAGGAGAAACACGCACAAAGCCCGTCTTGCCCGAAAGCTTCGAGTGTCAGACCTCAACAAGACTTGGGTTCGAGAAATGGAGGAACACCCTTTCCAACCCCATGTGGTGGCTCCGATTGGGTGGCTCGCACGGGTTCCCGTCGATTTGGCCTCCCTTTTCCGAGCTCAGAGGACGCGCGGCGTCACCCTCTGTTCCCGAAGACACCGAGGGTTCGGACTCTGGCTAAAACCAAACAAGAATCAATGAAAAGGCCTGATTAAGGCTTGAGTGCCCTCGTAGCATCTCGTAACAGCAGTCTTCCGAAGTTGCGTGCGACGTCGTGCGGCTGTTCGACTGGGCGTCCGTCCGTTATTTCAATTCATGCCAGCAGCACCACGGTGCAACCCATGCCTTCTGCTGTCTGACGACGAGCCCTCGGTGTCACAGAGATCTGGGCTTCAAAAGCTCTCCCTGAAGGCGTCTGTCGCCGGCCTCGCCGACTTGGCCAGTGCAGAGAGCCTCCACCGACATCTCTTTTTATGCGTCTCTTTGCAAACTCACTGCTGTAACTACTGTGCCTGCGGAGCTCCTTAAGCCCCTCTGGCTCCTACAACAGATCTCATTTTTTCTGGAAGGTGGAGAAATGCTTGTCACTGCTCTTCCTGCAGGAGCTCGTCCATTTCAACCTCACACATTAGTGACCGTTAGTGACGATAGTATCGTGATGCTTTTAAACCCGGCAGAAACTGTCGGAAGCTGCTGGGCTGCGGGCGAAGGACTTGGCCATAGCAACTGCCTTAGCCGCGGCTCTAGGCCGTTGCGATCCGTGGCTCCCGCTTTCAAGGAGAGCTCAGGTCAGGGCCGGGTCAGTGCTCGACCTGTGGCGAGCACTGAAAGGAGCTCTAGTATGCCCCTGTTCGGCTCCCCTCTTTTACAGCGTGGCCTGGCCTGGCGGCAATCGCCTCGGGCAAGTGGCCTTAGATCACGTCATCTCCAAACTGGAACTTCTGAGCGAATTTTGGCCCCGGGGGCGTTCGCAGAACTTGGCCACCTCCAGCCGCCGCCAACAAACACACAAGGAGGGAAGAGCTGTGTTTTGAGCGTCCTGCCTGGAAGCCGCCGTGGCCATCCATCACCCCGAAAAGGCCGATGTTTTCCCAACCAGCGTCCACCTCCAGCTTGCAATTCTCGGACCTCGAGCTGCCCCGGCCGTGCACAGGCTGGCCGCAACAAGAGACGTCCGAGTCGGTCGCAGAACCGCCTCTCTCAAAGAAGGAAGAACAAGATGGGCGTCTTCCATGGACTCCCGCCAGCCCTGATCGATCCATCGCATCTAATCTAATCAATCTAAACATGTCCGCCATGCAATGCCAGTATATGCCAGCCACCTTCCACCCTGCAAGGCCCAAGGAGGAAGGGGTTTGGGAGGGGAGGCAGGTGGCGATCCTGCATTTCAGCACTCCCCCAGGCCATCAAGCGACTAGCGCCATCGCCTGGTCGTCGGTTGGAAAAACAACAAATTCAGATGATACGGAATTTGGACATGGGCAGCCGGGGAGCTGCAGTTCTTCTTCGTCACCGGACCGCGGAATTGCAGGTCCTGTCTTGAATCGCGGGATTGCTTGTGCCCAGCCTCTTTTCCGGGAATCTTCCCCGCTCCTCGACCTCCTCGTCCCGAAGGCACACGCCTGGAGGCACACCGACAACACATCAGACTGCAGTGCTGCGACTCTGGAGTGGGTCGGTCCGCCTGCTTTCCCGCCCATCCTGCTCTGCACGGCAGCGGCCCGGATGGCTTAGAACTACTTTGCGCAGCAAAAGCTTTTTATCGGCTTGTTCCTCAGCCGCACCTGCATGCGCTGCGGTTCTTGTAAGACCATGTGGTGGCGACAACGCTTCGGCCGCAAGTGCGACGGCATGTCACGCACTGGTATCTTTGAGTTTGAGGTGAGTTGCATGCGGTCAAAGGATCCTGCAATCAGTTGAGACGATTGTCGCTCGGCGCCGCTTGCTCAAGCCTCGTCAGGGCTTTGCCAGGCTTTGACCATTTGGCAACAGCAACTTTGGCTGTTGACCTACTTACGATTCAGCGACAGCAAGGACGACATGCTATTCCTCGCACGATCCAGAGGGCGCGACCAGGTGACGCCCCCGACAAAATCCACGTCTTCACCAGTTTCAAGCATGCAGCATGCTTGTTCAAGAATGCCCCCAACAAGACCATGCGCTCCGAAAACATTTACGAAACCGGTGTATACACGGACTACGCAGGGCACCTTCGCCAGTTCTACCTCCTCTTGTGGCTTAACGAGTCTTCCGGGCCAACGCAAGCGTGCGATGGCCTGGGAGAGCGGGAGCCACAAGCTACTGGTCCAGTGGTGTCGTTTGCAAAGGCACAGGACGACCTCTGCTTCTGTGGAGTTCCGGAAAATAGAAGAAGAGCTCTGGCTCTCGCTGATGATGCAGGGCGGGATGGTTTCTCTCAGGACGTAGTGGCCCTGGACATCCGTCCAGGTCCCTAGCTCCGTCTCAAAGGGCGAGAAAATCTTCACGGAATACGGAGCCTGGTGGCCTAAGTGAATCAGACCACCCCTTGGCACAACCGAGCCCTTGGGCAGCAGACCGCCCCGTGGTACAAATCGCACATTGTCATGCGCCTCGAAGCTTAAGACCTTCACATCCATGCAACACTGGTTGCGGATCTGTGCATGCTGCGAAGACTGCTCCTTCAACAAGACATAGCTGCGAGGATCCTGCCTCGAGAGGATGCGAATGACCATGACCAGGAAGACCGCCAGAACCATAATGATCAACACTGTAACAAGCCACTCGAAGGACACGGTTCCATCCCAGATTGTGGTCTTGAGAAAATAGCACACAAGCAGGGCTGCAGACGCTTGTGCGAGTCCTTTCAGCTGCTGGAAAACTCCAACTGTCAAAAAGATCCCGACGAAGCTGAAGAATGCCGTGTACTGACCACGGGCAATCAAGTTTCCACCCAAAAGTGCCATCAACGCCACAACTACCTTTGTGGGCGCTTCCCTGTCACCTCCCGAAAACAGTTCAAAAAGATCGTTGGCGCTGCGAACTCGAGACAAACTTGGCACACTCTCCACGACGGTTTCGAAGATAAACTGGTCCGGCTGAAATGCGTCCCGCTCCGAACGAACATCGTACCAAATCAGGTGGTAGTCCCCAAACGAAGTCATGAATGCTGTTCGATGCGGCCCATGTGGAACCAGGCATCCTGGAGAAGTGTGGCTTTGAGACTGCGGGTCTTGCGAAGTTTGCCGCTGGTAAGTTGGTTCATTCACGACAACTGTGGTACTCTCAGAGCTGCAGGCTGTGATAGATCCTTCAAGCAGGATTCAACACTCTTGTGCTCGGCTTGAAAGCTGCATCCAGTCGGCTTAAGATCCGAAATGGCTAAGAAGGATCCCTTTTTGCATCCAGGACTCTCGCAACCAGCCGGGAAACTCCACAAGACAGAAAGGCAACCCTCCAGCAGCACTCGTGGCTACTGGATCCCTAAACCCTGCAAACCTGAGGCCGAAAACCCCGAAGAACAACCCAAATGCCAGCTCTCCGTGGGACTCATCGACCTGAAGCCCCCAAACCTCGGCGGTAGGATTACCACTCCTGCTGCTGCTTCTTGGACGACGACTCCTTCCGTTTTTCTACTTACCGCCACTACCACCAGCTATCACTACTTCGGCCACCTCCACTCGGCTACAGTTACCACCACCATGGTCTTGCATAGGTCCGGCTTGATTGTGCTTGAATGGCTGTATTCAAACAGTCCATCGAGATGCCAAGCACCGCCAGAGTCCGCACTGCTTTTCTCCCTGGGCTCTGATCCTTGCATTTCTTCTGTGCAGCGGGCGAGGTACGCTCTGTGGCTCTCAACCCAATTTCAGCGAGCAGTGGCTTTGCCACCAGTCGCAGGGGAAAGGGAACTGGGTCGGTCGGCGCGCGCTCCTCTTGAAGGAGGCTGCCGGTGGCTGCCGGTCCGCCCATGGCCATCTCGGCCTCAAAAGCAGTCGGCCTCTCCTTGCCTTGGCCCTCCTAGCGGCCCAAGGCCTAGCACGCTCAGCACACTGAAATCGCCAGCACGAGGAGGAGTGCCCAAAGGGCAGAAGGAGGACCTCAGCTGTTTTCACTCCGCCCCTATCTGGACGTGACTCTCCCGCTGAGAGCAGAACAAGAAGCATCAATGACGTAGCCTCAGCAAAGAACGGGTCACACCGGAACACGTCGAAACACCCATACACACACACTGCCATTACACGAGAAATCAAGGGCTAAGGAGAACAGGCGGAAGCACCCGCACATCCACATCACGCCAGCAGTCAAGCAGTCCCGGGTCCGCGACCATCCCGAAAATCATCAAAATCTTCCGAAAAGTTCTCGCTGGCATTCAGCACCTCCTCCGACTGATTCTGCCTCTGTTCCGTTGATGTTTGTTGCTCTGTGGGCTCAGCTGCTCTCTCTTGGGAGATTGAAAGACTGTCCGGAGCTCTGTTGAGGCCATGTTCTTGTTCTCCCAGGTCGCTCGACGTTGTGGAGGAAGTCGCAGAAAAAGTTGTGGAGGTGGGAGTTACGGTTGCAGTCAGAGTAGCTGTGGTGGCTGTGGCTGTAGCTGAAGCCGTTGCAGTCGATGTGACACTTGTGTTGCTGGTGGCATCCGTGGTGGCGGTGGCGGAAGTACCGGCCAGCTCTTGTGAAGTCGACGATGTCACGGCTGCAGACGTTGACGTTCCGGTCTGCGTTCCGGTCTGCGTTCCGACTGTTGTCGTTGAGGTGCTTGAAACTTCACAGACGTCCATGAGCTGTTCGCCGCTCCTTGGCAAGTTGATTCCCACGTAGGTTTTTGCAGCATCCAGAAGCGGAGTGCACGATTCCAACACGTCTGGCAAGGCCATGCAGTAGAACGTCTGCCAATTTGGGCAGATGGTCAAGAAGGGGTCCTGACCCATCATGACACTGGAGATAAGGCCTTCCAAAGGCAAGCAGACAGACGGGCAAGCCGAGATGCACTCTGGCGCAAAGTCCCGGATCATTCGTAGAATTGAGCTGGATGTACAAGGCGCTTGCTCCGTGCTTTGGCTGCTTGACCTTTTCAGAACGGCCAACACCAAGAAACGCCACAAGAAGCGCGCCATGACGGCCGGAATTTCAGCCCCGAGGCCCCTTCAAACTCCTGACTGTTGTGATACTGGCGGTAATATGTCACAAGCTGACATCACCGCTTCATGATTACTGCTGCCAGCCGCGAGAGCCGTTCATGCTCCAGCCGGATGAGTCGTACACAACATGTCGTATGGAGACCGTTCAAGAAGCAGGTGATTTTTTCGCGCATGCAAAGTGCATTAGCGAGACGTCGCCGCATCGTCAGAGCAGCTTTCGCTCTCAATCCAAGCGGACGTCGACAAGCTCCTTGTGCACCTGAGCGCCGGGGAGGGGGGGCGGAAAAGGGCGAGGCGAGGCGAGGGCGCCATCGCGCGAGCTCACTCTTCTGTCTTTCCCGCTTATACCTGTCTTCGGCTCTTCGGCTTGCCGAGACGCGTAGGAGACGGCGAAGGCCGTGACGGAGAAGCCGTTGGGCAGATACACCGGAGGCCTCGACAGAGCCAGCCGGGGGTGAGGCCGAGCTCGGCTCATCTCAGGCGCCCCTCTTTTCCGAAACTCTCCGAGGCCGGCGCTCGCCGCAGGGCGAGACCCCGCAGTTGTCCTCTGCACACCAAAACGAGCAGAATCCACACAGGCCGCGCTCAGAAGAAAAGACGAAGTCTCCCAGTGGCCCCCGCGGCCTGGGGGCTCCAGCCTTGTCTGTAGACTTCGAGGGTGGATCCTGCGGAACAGGCTGCGGCAAGCCAAGTCACGCTTGCCCCTCTGGTAGTTCCGCTCTCCGCTCCTGTGCAGAAGAATCGCTTTCGGAGAGCCTCCATGATGGAGACCTCCCAGGGCCGCTTCAAGCTGCCAGCGAAAGTTCTCGCATCTCCTTAGTCCTCGGAGGCCTGACGCGTCAGCTTCTCCTGAAGGCTCAAGGCCTCATCAAAGGGAGAGGAGGCCTGCTCCTTTGCTTTGCCTCCTTCCGGTTTCCCCGGTTTTTTTGACTGATAAGCTGCGTGGCGCCTGCCTTGTACTGCGGCAGCTCTGCAGCGCTGCCGAAGCCGAAGTGGATCTGACACATTAGGGCCACTGCCACGAAACATCATCCCAACGGGAGGCTCCAGGCGCCTCCATGTCAAGGGTTCGTACCTTGCCGCAACGAGCCCCAAATGCGAAACTTGGATACGTCTGATGAAGAGTCTTAACCGTCTTAACCCTTCCGTCACGTCTCCCAAAGCCGAATCACGAGTACCCAAAGATTGCCCTCAGCAAGCTGCAGTCAGAACAGGCATGGATGCTTTCCGACTTGCCTGGAATACCTCAAAAGACCTAAAGTTGAGATGCGATCCTTTTTTGTGGTGTTCTCCTCATCTCTCATGGAACTTCCCCAGCGCAGACTCGAAAATGTAGGGCCCTTATCCGAACGATCCGAACAAAAGATGATGCTGCAGTTTTGAAGCTGTACCTGCTACGCTACGTCGTCACGTACGAGACACAACAGGGCAGGGCTGTTGAGTTGCGCGATCCGAAAGCGAATGTCGACAGTTTGATCATGCCTGCTCAGGACTGTCTGTTTCTGTCCTGAGAGGAGCTCGGCTCTTTTGCACTATTCAACACTGTAGCAGAGGCCACGAATGAGTAAGGAGTTCCAGAAAGTGTCTGATGGCTTGCCTGCCCCCGACTGGATCAACAGGAGCGAAACAACCCGTCTTCCCGATCCAACCTTGTCCCACTCAGCGGGGTTGTTGGTCAGCCTAGGACATCATTTTAGCATCTCCATCGCAAGATGCATACATGGGAGACAGTACTGAGACCGCACCTGTTTTTGCAAGCGGCACGACTTGTCACAGCTCGCAGGTTTCAGAGCTCGAGAGCCAGGGATCCCTGGTTCGAGTCCACATGTCGCCAATGGCTACGCGTAGCCGTGATCTTGCAGCTTCCTCACGGCTTCTCTCACATTGGGCACTTCGATCTTTTTCCTGCGGCCATTCGCTTCAACTTCCTGGGACACGGCTGATGGACGAATAGCCAGTAAAACAGTAAACTTTATAAAACTCAAAAAGGACTCTGTGTCGAACCGCTGCATCAATCAATAACTTGCCTGAGCTTCTAATCTCACGGGCCTGTCTTCAGAGCCGGTGCCCAAAAAACGGCAGAGCTCATCGACGACCTGGTCCTGCGTGGTTTGGAAGAAAACCATTCCAAACCCACTGCCTCGCGGTGCGGAAATGAAAAGAGAGAGTCCTCCGGCAGCAGCTGGCTCCAGCGCGCGGGGTTCAGGCGAGCCAAGCCCGCCTGGATATCGCGTGGGGGCCCTAAATACGCGTCTGATAGGGTCCCTTTTTTGAGTATACCGGGGCCGGGCTGGGGCCCCGGCGCCGATGGGCCCTCCGTAGCCTCGGCCGGCGTCTTGCCACATCCACCTGAGAGGGTTTCGGGAGCCTTGCGAAGCCAACCCCGAGTTCATAGGCCCCAAACAAAATATGTACACTTTCAGTTTCATGGGGGATAATAGTTCAAAACGTGCAGAGTGACAGACATTTCGGCTTTTCTCACTCCAAGTGACAAGGAACAAAGGGCATGTATGAGACATGGAGGTAATTTACAAGAGAGCCATGACATCATGACATCGATGGGAATCCGATGGAGTCAACGGCAAATACTGCACAGCATGCTTCAGGGACCTGAAACCACGGAGGGGTGTGGCACCGCTACATCAAGAGTTCTGATGGAATACGTTTCCGGCAAAGGCTCTATATAGCCACTTTGGCCAATTTTGCTGTGACTAATGACCAATGCCGAAGCAAAGCATGCAAGCCTCATCCCAAGATGAATAATCTGGCGCATCCTTCAGTGAAGTTGTCTGGGTATCTTACAACAATCTTCCACGGGAGGAACCAGGAACTGCGCCCTGATTATATGTAAATGATACATGTACGCTGGCACGTCATGGGCCTCACATGCTGAAGGAGGGCGGGTAGGAAATCAAAACAATGGCAACCACTCTGTTTGAAGGCTTGTCTTGTGTTCTGTCGAGACTATGAGCGCCACCACACCACATTCGCAACATGTGTGAAGTACCTACGAAGAGCAGCCAAACTACGTAGCGACAATGCACATCCTGCTTAATTCCGCAGGAGTTGAGGGAATCCCATCCCAACAAGGTCGGAGAACGGAAGGGCCTCGCGTGGTTGCGGATCGGCACTTGGGAAAGCTCCTGCACCGAAGCAGACACGGTGAGCTTTCTCACTTGTGGCATGGTGTGCTGCCCCTGCCACCGACAAGTTTCGAATAGTTTCGAAGCCTGAATTCGCGAAGCGGCTTTAGCTTAAGGCATGTAAATCTGAAAATCTGGTCTCATTCGCACTACGCACGTAGGATCGCTTCTTAATTCATGGGCGCTGCGGATGTGCGGCTCTGTAGCGCACGAGCTGTCGCGACCCTCGGAAAAGAAGAGTGTGGACCCGAAACGCCGACCCAACTAAGATTCTACGCTGAGAATGGCAAACTGCTGTACTCTTCTTTCTGGAAGGATGCGTCCGCTGCGTCTGCGGCGATGCGGCCTCGTCGGACGCGGCCGACTCGTAGTCCGAGCCGCTGCCGCGGCTGCTGCGGGAGATCGGGGAGCGTCCGTCCGGAGATCCCGAGCTCAGAATGCGGCTCGCCATGGCAGCCTCCAGGAGCTCGCGGTCGTCTTCCAGGGCTTCCCTCCATTTTGAAAGCTGAGGCGTCGTGAGGAGCTGGCGCAGGGCCTGTAGGGCCTGCTCTCGGCAAAACTCCTCTTTGGCCAAGATCAGAAAGCGAAGGATGGGATGTTTCGGCAGCAGCCGGTCGATTTCCTCGAAGCAGCGGAAGATAGCGGAAGACAGGAAGGCGGCTCTCTCTCTCTCTCTCTCTCCATTTTTTGTCCCGCCTGCAGCTCCGCTGGGTGGTATTCTCTGACCAGATGCAGTCCCTGGGCAAACTGCTGCAGGGATTTCTTCGCCTCTGGCCGCCCTTCTTCCTCCACGTTCTCAAAGTCTAGCCGCCGCAACTGTTCGACCGCCTCCCTGAGAGAGATGAGCGCTTCGGAGGGCGATGCCGGCACGGAGACCTCGCTGCTGCGGCTGCGGGGCTCGCGCATGTCCCCGTGAACCTCCATCTCCGGTAGAGGCTCCGAAAGGCCCTGCAAGGGCTGTGAAAGGAAAGACGAGAAAGCACCTTGCTTCGGGGAGGAATTGGGGAGGACCCGGGTGGGAGCTCGGGGAGCGGCCTCTGCAGCTTCTTTCCAGCTGGCGTCCTTGAGGAGGATGCTGCAAACGTTGGCAACCTGCCTGGCCAGGGGACGGCTGCAAGCAGGTGTACATGTGTGCCAGCTGCTCTTTGCGCCTTCGACGCGGCCGTCTGAATTTAGCAAACTCAGCGAGGAATGTGAGGATCTGATCGGCGAAACATCATCATGGCTCCAAGAAGCTCGAAACTCAAGAATGACTCTCTGCAGCTCCAGCCTACGAATGTGCAGACAAGACAGACACTCTGGAATACTCCAGCTGAGTTCTCCGTGCCTTGGACTTCTGGTCCAGCTCCTTCAAAACAAAACGACTGAAAGCGACAAAATGCGACAATCAACTTACTGGACTTCAGCCTGCAGTGTCGCGGACTGTGTACTGGAGCCGCCTGCAAAGGCGTTCAGCCCTCTGTTCTAACTGCCGTAGAGAAGCGGGTGCTGCTGTCGCTCAGCACCCGGCGGACGACGCCTTTCCGGAAGATCTCAAAGGCATCGCTGGCTGAGTCATCGCTGTATCGGACCACCTGCGCTTCGGCATCGGAACACTCCTGGCTTGGCAGCGGACAACTGCCTTCAAGATGGCTGCATGGCCCTCTGCGATCATCTGCTTGGTTTCATCGGCCGCATCCCTCTCAAACATGCTACCATTGATGCCAGCTCCTACTCTTCCAAAGCCTGAAAAGCCAAGTGTGCTGCAGCGGTGAAACTCTCTCCGATGTGTAAGGCAAGGCTGCTGGTCATGGTCTGTGCATTTGGGGTCCCAGCCACTCCAACACATCCCACTCCGATCCTTCAACCTCGAGGCTTCCCACACTTGCGAAAGCATAGTGCTATACACAAAGTCCATCCTAAGCTCCAGCGCATCGATCTTGAGGTGCACAGACAACTTTGGCCAGCCCCTCAGCTGTTCCTCGGGGCTTGCAGTGGAAAAAAGGGGACTGAGGCATCCGGGCTGACCTCCAATGTGACGAAGTGCCGGCTTTCCACCACGATATCCTGTCACACTCGCTTTCAGGGGGGCAAGTTTCTCAAAACAGCACCGATTCCTGACCAGCCAAACAGCTCCGGTGTGGATAATAGTTGGCCGCATAGCATATCACGTCCCTTCCAGGACACCACGCCACCACACCATGACTGGCTCGGCTAAGACAACCTCTGAGAACCGGGGCAGTTTCGGCTCGCCGATGTCGTTCTTCAAACACTTCTGTGAGTTGTTTGGCCTCTGAGCGCACAGCATCTCGGTTCAAACGACGGACATTCCATGCGCTGGGGGAACGGCGCTGTCCCAGCCATTGGAGGTGATCTCTCCAGTGGGATGTAGCCTTCCCAAACCAAACACACCAACCATGCTTCACTGCAAGAAGTCAACAAACGACAATGTCGACCGGGCTCGCGACAATCATAGAGATGCACTGGCAACCCAAATTTCTGGGCAGGCAACACGCGCATGACAAGGATTTATCTGAACTGCCGGCATGAGATTGAACCGGGCTTCGGCGCCTGTGTCACCAACTCCCCCCACATGTCACGCTCCTCTCCAACACAAATCGCCAGCTCGCAACTTCGCAGAAAATCAATGAATTGTTTTCAACAGAAAGCAAAGGTGACACCGAAACAACCATGATAGACTTTGCCCGTGCATGGTCTTCAGACATACGGTTAACTCGGGATTATTTGCCTCGAGATAATTTTGAACTGAATGATGCGACTTCGGAGATGTAGCAGGCCCACCGTATTTAGAGTCGTGGGAAGTTCTCCCCGCACACACACACACAGAGACATGTAAACATGTAATCATGTATGTATGTATGTATGTATGCATGTATGTGTGAATGTGTGCATGTGTGCATGTATGTATGTATGTATGTATGTATGTATGTATGTATGGCAATGTATGGCAATGTATGGCAATGTATGTCAATGTATGTCAATGTATGTCAATGTATGTCAGTGTAGTATATACTATACTAAATATAATGCATTTCTTCCTTTTTAGGTATCTAGTGTTTCTTCGTTTCGGTGCTTTCAATGGTGTCCTAACCGCACGTTCATCAGAAGGCGCGACGCATCTAACAAAAGCACTGCAAAGGGGCTTTCCGACAATTTGCTGTTGCGACCACGAGCTGGCACGTCCGTTGGCGACGGCGACCTTTCCCATCAACTAACCCAAGCAACATGGGCAACGCGGCCAAGGCATCCCGGCCCCCGCCGTGAGCAGACCCTTAAGAGCTTTCCAGCTGGAGTTGCAGCGACTGGGCCGGGACCATTGTGACGATCCGGATTCCCGACCCCATCTACATCATGATCTTTGCGGACCGCTGTCCTCTGCATCTTCCACTGCACCTTCGATTGGTGTTGGCTTCGAAAGTAGAAGGGCCTGGCGTGTCGTGACCTCCGTGATGTGTATCCTGTGGAGGCGATCCATGGACCCATCCTGACCAAGACGGATGTACATCCAAAGGTAGCCTGGGACAAGAAGGCAAGGCGCCCCGCCATGCGCGAAGCCGCGTCCGGAGAAAGCCGGTCGCAATGCAAGGCCCCGTCGATCTGAGCCAAGATGCAGGCCTGGCGCTTCGCGGTGGGCCGCAGTGCGAACCAGTTGAGAGGTCGACGCCCTGGACCACGGGCACCTGTGCGCTTGGTGTCGAGGCGAGCAAGGCGAAGAAGTCGGCGACGGGCGCATCCTCAGAGTGCCGTTAAAGTCGTCGAAGAAGTGGCCAAGGGGAACCAGCATCTGCACCGCATCGGCCGCCCGGTTTAAGTTCCAGATGCTGGCCGCTGCCCCGAAGCTATAACATGGCGAGGTGGAACCTCCACGTGACACCGGTCCGCAGTGGCCGGGTGCTTGACCAACCACATAGTTAGAGGCCTGGCAAGACCCATGTCGGCCACGGAGGGGGCCGCCGACGTCTTCGTCGTCGGCGATGCCTCAGGACGTGAGCTGCAGGGCGTTCCCCTCAACGCCGTTCGGGGGCGGCTCATCCGGCGAGGTGGCAGTAGGCACCGACGTCGGCGTAGTAGGTGCCACCACCAAGTCCACGCCCGCTGCCGCGGTGGAGGCGGCCTCAATGGCGGAGGGCGCAGGCGCAGACGAGCGGTCGAAGCCATGATGCAGCGAGAGGCGAAGGCTGAGGGGGACTCGAAAAGATGCGGTCGAGCCGAGGTGCTTCGGCCGACCGCATGCGTTTGTTCCTACGTGCATGAATGCACTACACCACAAGGACGAAGGAAATGCTCTTCAAGACCAGGAGGATCCCTACTACAAGTTGACCGACGTGAAGGCCAAGAAAGCCAAAACCTCTATCGCTTCCCAGCCAGGTTTGCACGCCTTAGCCGAGAAACAGATGCTCACTGGAGAAGTACGACCAGGAAGCATCCTGGTCCTGGAAGAGCAGTGCTTGCGACCGTGTTTGCAGATCCACTTTCGCGGCAGATACGATGGCCTGTTCGACAGCCACCGAGACCAGCGACTTCATCGTCCGCTTCCTCGATAGCCTTCTGAGCGGAAGATTGTCCAGAAGAAAACGAGGTTCCTCGTGAGATTCCTGAGTGAATGCCGAAGCTTTTGTATGACCACCTCACCCGAGACGGAGTCCCGAGAGTTCCTTCATGTAAAATGCTTGCTATAGACCTCGCGGAGGTCCGCCAGGATCTTCATGATTTCGGAGGGATTGTCTGGGTGCCCACCGCTGCACAGTTGTTGGGCAAGTTTCCGGAACGGCTTGAAGCTCACATTTAAAGAAAAGACAGGAGAAGCTTGCGCAGAATGACAGTTGGAACCAGTGTAAAGCTGTGAAGGGTTCGAGAAGCTGTGTCTTCGTCGAGGCACATGAGTTTGGCCCGAGGGCGAAAAATGTGTCGATGCTGCGAAGGCTCGGCTGGGCGCCGGATATTCTTAAGTTTGGACGACGCTTTCTGGAGTGTGTGTCGCT